AAAAAAAAAAAAAAAGGAAACGACAGTTGTTGTTGTATATACATGCCAAAAATAGTAGAATGGCTAAGTCCATTAACAATGCCAGCTTTCAAGACCTGGTAGATCCTAGCACAATAATAGATAGATAATCCAAACAGAAAAAAATAATCTCAGAACTAAATGACACTATAGACCAAATGCCATTAACAGACATCTACTGAGCATTTCACCCAGCTGCTGCACAACACACATTCTTCTCAGCAGCCCATAGAACTTTCTCCAAAATAGATCGTATTTTAGGACATAAAACAAGTCTTAGCAAATATAAGAAAATTTGAAGTAACTCCCTGTGTTCTATCAGCTCATAATAGTATTAAACTAGCACTCAACAGCAAAAGATACTACAGAGAATATTCGGACACATGGAGACAAACCAATACATTATTAAATGACCAACTAGTTATTGAGGAAATAAGGGGAGGAGATTTAGAAGTCTCTAGGAGCGAATGAAAAGGAGAACACAACCTCAAGACCTTTGGGGATACAACAAAGTAATGATAGAAATTTTATAGCTATGAATGCTTGGATAAGAGAGATGCCAAATAAATAGCTTTATGAACTCCTCAAGCTTTTAGAAAAAAAAAGCCAAACCCAAAATTAGAAGACTGAAATAAACAATAAAGACTTGTCATAAATCAATGAAACAGAGATTTTAAAACTACACAAAAAATATACAAAAAGTTGGTTTAAAAGTATAGCCTGGCGCTGGTAGCTCACACCTATAATCCTAGATACTCAGGAGGCTGAGATCTGAGAATTGCAGTTCAAAGCCAACCTAGGCAGAAAAGTCCATGAGATTCTTTTCTCCAATAAACCACAGAAAACTGGAAGTGGTACTGTGGCTCAAGTGGTAGCATGCTAGCCTTGAGCTGAAGAGCTGAGGGACAGATCCCAGGCTCAGAGTTCAAGTCCCATCATAGAAAAAACAAAAACAAACAAAAAAGTACAAGCTGGGTGCTGGTGGCTCATGCCTGTAATCCTAGCTACTCAGGAGGCTGAGATCTGAGGATCACGGTTCAAAGCCAGCCTGGGCAGGAAAGTCCGTGAGACTCTTACCTCCAATAAACCACTAGAAAACCGGAAGGTGGCACTGTGGCTCAAGTGGTAGAGTGCTCACCTTGAGCTGAAGAGTGCAGGAACAGCACCCAGGCCAAGAGTTCAAGCCCCACAACCGACCAAAAAAAAAAAAAAAAGTACATAAATCACAGGCAGCTAACTTAACCAAAAGAAGAGACTCGAATCAATAAAATTAGAGAGGTAAAAGGGATTATCACAATAAATACTAATAAAACCCAAATGATCATAAGAAAATACTTTGGAAACTCATATACAAATGAACTGGAAAATCTAGAAGAAACAGATTAACTTTTAGACACAGTTGACCTACTAAAATGGAACCAAGAGGTTATAAATCACCTAAACAGATTTATACCAAGAAATGAGATTGAAGCAGTAATAAAGAGTCTCCAAAGAGGAGAGATGCTTGCTGAGTTCCAACAGATCTTTCTGAAGAACTAACACCAATATTCCTCAAACTCCTCTATGAACTAGGAAGGGAAGGAATCCTGTCAAACTTAGGAAGTAAAACAGGCTCTATTTGAGAGGCAAAACGAGTGGAAGGACAATGGAGAAGATGAATGTAGATGAATATAATCAAAGAATATCACTAAAGGAAGAGAGCTAAAGATGGACAGAGGAGGCTATAATGTTCAGGATGCTTTGTATGCCTGTATGGAAATACCATAGTGTACTAGTAATGAGTTCAGTTCACCAGAAAAAGTAATAATAAAATAAAAAATATAAAAGCACAAAAAACATATAATTCAAAATAAGGTAAAAATTAGTTTATTTGTATGGTACTTCAACAAAGCCACTCAAATAATTACATTAAGCTAAATGTTGGTGGCTCACACTTGTAATCCTAGTTTCTCAGGAGGTTGAGACCTGAGGATTGTAGTTGGAAGCCAGCCTGTGCAGAAATATTTGTGAGATCCTTATCTCCAACTAATCAGCAGAAAGCCAGATATGGAGCTGTTACTCAAGTGGGTAGAGCACCAGCTTTGAGTGAAAAAGCTAAGCAATTATTTTTGTGTACTAGCACACACACAAAAAAAACACTATATCAAAGTGCTATTGTACTTATTATAGGAATACAACATGAAAATCAGGACGCCCCTTTACAGCGATCCATCACATTCCTTTAAAAATTAAAAATCCTCAGCAAAGGAAGCAGAGTGTGACTTACTAGGAGTTTCCATGATATCTTTGCTTGGGACAGTTCTTTGATATTTTCAGTAACTGTGGTATTCCCGGGAGGTAAATTCCCCAGGAGACCAGAGTAGATGTCCATTTTGGTTGCTCTCTGAGCTTGAATAGAAAGGACACAGTCCTTGAGTGCTTTACCCGGGATTCAAATTCTGACATGCTTCTTGCTCTGTGACCCTGGTGAGCCACACCGGCAACTCTGAGCTCACATTCACACACAAACTTGGAGAACAAAGTCTTTGTCCAGTGGTGCGATGAGGGTTGGCTGAGGATTCACCATGGCAGGTTCTCAGTTAGTTGAAGCTGAGTCTGAGGGATGGAGGAACAGAGGAGAGGAGGGGTACTAGATGTATCTAAGTAGAGTCTCAAAAGCCTCTCACCATCAGACATGTATTTAATAGTAGTCATTCATCAAATGGTCTGGATGCCTCCTACGTGTTCAGTGCTGCGCTTGTCTGGGTCACCAGCCGCAAACATCCCCGCCGTGCAGCCTGGTGAGAGAGACAACATTCAAATGAATACAAATAAATGTACCTTACCATAGCCAAGGGCTAAGGGGCTGGGCTGGTGTCCAGATTCATTGGTCCCCTCCTGTCCAGCCCGGGCCTCCCCAGGGCTGCTGCAGCCATATGGAAGGCATTGAACAGTGCTCTCATTCCAAATGTGTGGTTCTGCTCTCCAGACGCCTGTTCCTGGAAAGAGCGGGCCACTGCTGGCAGCCTGGGCCTCCGTGCAGATAAGGAGGTTTCCTTCCACCCAGTCAGGAGGGGGCAAGCTTCAGTAATGACCCTGTAAAGGGTGATTGCTGAGCCCTGTAGCTCTACCACTGACCCACCAGGATCTGACAGGTGGCCTAGAGAAAAGGGACTAGGGCAGCCCCAAGCACCAGAAGTCCAAGGATACCATTTGCTTTGTTGAAAAAAATTGTAAACATTTAAATCTACATCTTAAGGCAATATAAAGTTGGCATGGGGGAGAGTCTCAAGCTAATTTTCAGACCTGGAGTTCTTCTCTGTGCTGTCTCCTCCCTGCTGGGGCAGGGGGGCGAGGAGGGGGGGGGTCTTTTCCTGATGTCACTGACTATGCTAACAGTTATTCTGAGGAATTATGGGAAGTGACTGCTCAGCACCTGCCATGCACATTTAACTTCGTTTCCCTTGCACAGGGCCCATTGTACAAGCACGGACCCTGTTCACAGAGGAGGTAGCCAAGACAAAAATGAAATCCACAGGCGTGTCCAGTGGCCCCTAAATAGGCCATGGATTTGTTAAGAGCGCACAGTAGGTGGTCCTGCCCTAAATTCGCATCAGTCAACACTGATGCTCTCCATTTACTAGAAAACACCCTCTGCCACAAAGATCACTGGTGAACTTCCTTCACCTTTACCGTATCACAGGGTTGCTTTCCTATCTGCAATGCTCATACATGATACCCTCAAGGGAATGAACCCTCGGATGAAGAGTGGAGGGAATCGAGGCTCCTGTATGGCTTCCTTGTCAAATCACAGCTGCTTGAGCAGAGGAAAGGTGTCTTCATCCAGGGCATATAACACACTCATCAGGTTATTGAATTATGATATTCATATACCAGGGCCTAGTTATTATTTTAAAAAACAATCACAGCTGTCTCTTATTAGTTGCTTATTCCATACCAGGCACTTTTTTTTTTTAGTACAATCTCATCCAATCTATCACCACCTCTTACAAGGGGATGCTGAGATTATTCCCACTGCACAGATGAGAATGCTGAGACTGAGTGGTGACGCACCATGGCTGAGGCCTAGGAAATGACAGGGTTTTTATCTCCTCATCACTACACTGTTTTCCACTGCCCCTCATTTCCTGAACACCTGCTCTCTACAAAGTCCCAAGTGGACCACAGAGTGAATCATTCAAGTAGTCATCTGTTTGATCACCATTTTTTTTGCATTTATAAATAAGCTTAAATAGAATACACCTATTTTAGCATTTATGAATAGGTGTTTATTTATAGTATGCCTCAATTTACAAAGCACTCAACTTCCTTAGTGCTATATGAGAAAATAAACTTTTTTTACAGGAGTGACTGTGGAACAATTGAAGCATGGAGAACAGAAGCTGGAAAGATCAGAACCCAGGTGTGAGGCAGATAGGCAAAGGCTATAAAGACAGGTCACTAACGTCTCTTTTAGTTTTCCAGCAGCCAAATTTGATCCTCCACAATTTACTATGTCCCTAAGACACTGACACGCCATTGTGGAGACAAAATAAAACTCTCAGAAGCCCTGAAATCAGAGGGTTTGATTTTTTTTTCCAGTAAGTTGGCAGGCAGAGAATACTATTGAACATAAGGAACAATGTCCTCACATAGCCTTCAAATTGCACGTACAGCACAAGTCTCATGGACTGCTTCCTGAGCCCCTCCTTGGACCCCTCCAAGCTGGCCCACATCCCAAAGAGAAAGGCAGCTCTAATGAAAGAGCAGCTAGAGACACACCAGCCATGCGTGCCCATCTCAAGTTTAGTCCACAGGAAATGCTAACTGCAGTCTTCAGAAGAGCTTAGTACATAAACAGTTTGAATTAGTTGTTAACTTTAGTTAGGCATTCTCTCGCTCTCTCTCTCTCCCTTAGTCACACACACACACACACACACACATTTTGTCAGTTCTTTATAAAATAAAACTGACTGCCAGTGGCTCACTCCTGTAATTCTAGCTATTCAAGGGACTAAGATCTGAGGATTACATTACAGCCAGCCTAGGTAGAAAAGTCTGTGGGAGGGGCTGGGAAGGTGGCTCAGTGGTTAAAGCGCTTGCCTTGCATGCCTGAGGCCCTGGGTTCGATTCCTCAGCACCACATAAGCAAAAACAAAAAAGCCAGAAGTGGCACTGTGGCTCAAGTGGTAGAGCGCTAGCCTTGAGCTGAAGAGCTGAGGGACAGTGCCCAGGCCCAGAGTTCAGGCCCCATGACCAGACCCAGAAAAAAAGAAAAAAAGTCTGTGAGACCCTTATCCTCAGCTAACCACCAACAAGCCAGATATGGAGCTGTGGCTCAAGGGATAGAGAGCTAGTTTTGAGAGGAAAAAGCTCAGGGACAGCGCCCAAGATCTGAGTTCAAGCCCCATGACTGACCAGAGGGGGGGGCGAAGGAGAGGGAGGGAGGGGGGAGGGAGAGAGGGAGAGGGAGGGAGGGAGAGAGAGGGGAAGGAAGGAAGGAAGGAAGGAAGGAAAGACGGACTGATTTTTACAAGTGACTTATAAAGGACAAAAATTGGTTGGCGCATTCATCTTCTATTCCTCTGTGGGTTCCCCCGAATGCCCTTCTTGGCCTTTAGAGCCCCTTCCTGGCTCTGCAAGTCATAAGAGGCCTTCAGCTCTGTTTTGAGTAGTGGTACATCAGTGCGTTGTTTGCAGGAAAAGGGCAAAAAGGAATTCTTACAGGTGACTGTGACAAAGGGTACAGAGGGCTAGGTGGGTGGGGCTTGCTAGAGGCTACACCTCCACTTAGTACTGTATATCCAGACAAACAAATAGTTTTCTTTCTTTTGGGCAACGAGGTTATGCTCAAGGTGATACCCTCTGGCAAACAGGTGCCCAGAGTCCAGCCCTGTAAGTGCCCAGAACAGCACTGAGTCACATGTTGTTAGTGCCCTCCACCTAGGCTGCACAAGAATGAGCTAGAAACCTTTCAGTGCACACTTTCAACCCTACACCTGGGCCGCACCTCCAATCAGTCAGAATCTCCGAGAATGTGAGGAGGTACTGTGTTGCTGTACCTTCTATCAAGGGATACCCGTGTACAGACAAGGGTGATGAGCAGGTCTTAAAAGTGAGCATCTTCTCAGAGCCAGGTCTGCTACTGTATATGCATGGGCAAGAGCTCTCCAACGCTCCCAGGGGAGGGGAGAGGAGGACACATGAGCACAGAGACTCTTAGGATAAATGTCATGAGCAGAGGTGGAGGCAGCAGGTGTACCTGGCTGTTAGCAGCCTGGAGAACCCTAGCTCCTCCTGGCACACACCCACAGCAGTCAAAGAGATGCTCGGGCTGGATTAGGGAATAAATGCAATCCAGCCACATCAAAAATGGGAGGCAAATTCCAGCCAAAGCAGTTTGTAGTCTAAGGTTCTAAGACCCAAGTGAAGGAAGCAGAGGTAGCTAGAGTTGTTGGGCACAGCTGAGTCAAAGGGAGGGGGGAGTGTAGAAAGAGAACAAAGAGGCAGGAGAGGTCCATATCACAAAGGACTTTGTATGATAGGCTGAGATTGAATTTGGCCATAAGCTGGGAGGAGCCTCTGAAGAGCTTTAAGCCAAAGAGTCATACAAATAAGCAAATTTAGGTTGGGCTGGGGTTACCAGGGAGGGGGCTTCCAGAAAGGGATCAGACTTGAGGCAAACGGTCAGGAAAATGAGGGTTCTAACCAGTTGCTTCAGTTAAAACTACTAGAAACGCTTCCTTCCCCATCCAACCCAACACTCTTTGAAACAGTCTGAATCACAGGCTGCCTGGATTTAAGATGTGTTGTCTGTTATTTGAAAGCTGTGGTTTCTCTTTAATAGAGTCTGGGCCCCATCCTTTGATTAGGAACCAGGAAAGAATCTTCTTGTGGAGACAGCTAATGACTGAAATAAAGTGAGCTTTACCAGGAGCTTATGGCTGTGCACTCTTTCTCCCTCCCTCCCTCCCTCTCCCTTCCTTCCTCTCTTCCTCTCTCTCCCTCTCCCATCTCCCTCCCCTCCCTCTCCCTGACTTCTAACTAGTAAGTTTTCAGTACATTTTTTTTAATGGGCTGCCCTCAGAGCCAGCTGGAAAGTCTTTTTCCATAAACTTTCTCTGAGACAAGTAGCCTGGTTTCACATATTAAATTGAAAATTTAAAAAGAGTTGCTCAAAAGAAATAAAAGTTACAGGCTCATTTGGAAGGCCTCAGCTCACAAATGCTGGGTCAGGGACCAGTGGCATCTGCCCATTTTGTTGGTTTTGAGGGTTGTTTATTTGCAAAAGCTGGTGATCAGTGATAACAACTACTTGTTTATTGATTCACTCAGCAAACACATACCAAGCACTTCCTGGTTGCCAGGGCTTAAGCTAGGCACTAAACTGAGAAGCCATGCTATGTTATAAACTGCATGTACTTTTGTTACTTCATTTCTCAGAAGAGGAAGTGGAGGCCCGACCTTAGAGATCAGATGACTTGCTCTGAGTCACGATTTTAAGAAAGGAAGAAAACCTGACCTTAGCTCATCCAAGTCTACAAACTTGGGTTCCTTCTTTTGCTCCTGAATTTGAACGCAGGACCTTGTACTTGCTAAGCAGGTGGTCTTCTTGAGCCATGCCCCTAGCCTTTTTTTTTTGCAGTGATTATTTTTCAGAGAGAATCTCAGATTTCTTGCCCAGGCTGGCCCAGACTTCTATCCTTCTATTCCCCAATCCAGCCCGAGCATCTCTTTGACTGCTGTGGGTATGTGCCAGGCTGTTAACAGTCAGGTACACCTGCTGCATAGCTGAAAT